CTGCTAAAAAAGTTAGTGTCGAGGCCTGACAGGGAAGTCAAAACGAGCCCAACCTTTGTCTTGCCTACAGACGATTGATTACACGTGTGTATTTAAAAGTAACACAGATCAAATAAATAAAAAAACAAAGAAATGCATATAGTGTGGTGTAAATGGGACATTCAGAATCGGACTTCTGTTATAATATAACTGGAATTAAGTTTTTATCTGCTGCAATACTTTCTTGTAAATGGTCAGCAGATAAATGTTCATGTTGTCATTCAAAGGGGTACGGTCAATGAATGTAACACAATATGTGTTTGATGGTAGAAAATATTTATCCTAAGTCAGAAATGAATTCTAAGTCCATTCCAATTACACTATCAGTCTTCAGGGAAAAACTTTAAAAGCCACCGGCCATTCGGGCCAGTAAAATTCTAAATCTTACCGGACCTGGTGATCTTTAGCCGGACCAAAAATGTAGACCTTAATTCTTTATGTAACAAAAGAAAAGTTATATTAATAGAAGTATATTTGGATGGGAAAAGGCAGACATTTATAACGCTTCCCTGTAAACTTTTAATTCAAGCATATTATTTCCTATCATATGGGCTACATGTTCGCAGGTATAAACAATTAAAGAAGGTCCAAATTTTAAGACATAATTGTATCAAAGATATTTTGATTAACTTCCATAAGTATTATTCATAGATCTATACTGAATGTAGGAATATATATGAACAACATTAAATCATATATTGATGAAAAGTCTTTAAATTTGAATGTTTTTGGTCATTTGGGACTAAAATGATTGGTTTTATTTGCAAAAATGTCAGAAAGATTTATTTTATAGAGAAGCCTGGCTCATCATACTGATAATTTTTTCTTAAAATAATTTTATAGACAAAAAAACTACTGGCCCATCGGACCACCAACATTGCAAAAATCACAGGACTGGCGCTAGATTTAGTGGCCTCGGACTGCGAACTGATGCTAATTTCGAAGACTGTCACTATATACTAATATATAGACAAGGGTAACTCCCATAAGAAGTTGTCTATTCCCAATCAGGGTTTTCGCCTCACAGTTTTTTAAACGTTACAGCATAAATAAAAAGGAAATATGCAATATGTAGTGAAATAATTTATCTATCGAACCAAGGAAAAACTTTTCTTACCTCTCTTATACTTAACAAGTACTGGCCGCCAAAGTACCAAAAAACTTTTCTTTTACGAGAGGTCGACATCAATCGTGGCTACGCAGGAAACACAAAGTTACACGACTGTTGCAATCATTAGAAATAATATCACAAGCATTTATCATGCTGGGCAATTAAAACTACAGTACTTAAAAGTAATCAAAATATTTCAATAACCTATAATGACAATGTGATATATAGTCGCCTGCGGCTTCAGAGTATTTCCCCATTGAAATTTCTATAAAAACACCGCCATCTTGTTGAATTTAAACAACCTTTATCTGATTGGTCGATTTATTTACCGAAAATATACCCGTAAATTTCAAAAAAAAACCGACCAATTAGAAGACGGTTGTTATATTTGAAAACAAATTAACTGTCTGATGCAGGGGGTGATATACATGTAGGACAGGACTTTAATTGCTTCTCAGAGTAAAGAGCTTATGCACATTTATGCAGTAGTGTCTATACAGTATGTTGTTCAATTTGAAACCTTATCACCCTTGATATATTAAATGAGCCGTGTCACAACAAAACCAACATAATGGGTTTGCGACCAGCATGGATCCAGACCAGCCTGTGCATCCGCGCAGTCTGATCAGGATCCATGCTGTTTGTTAAGTAGAGAAACTGAAAGCGAACAGCATGGATCCTGATCAGACTGCGCAGATGCGCAGGCTGGTCTGGATCATTGCTGGTCACAAACCCATTATGTTGGTTTTGTCATGACGTGGCTCAAATGGACTCTTCCATCTTTCAATCTTGACAAGACCATTCATCTTTATATGGAAAATTTAAAAAAAAAGAACTGACTAAATAGAGGTCAGTGCATATTATGATCAGAAGGCACAGACATGCTGACTGTGAATCTCACATGGTATGATCTTGCTGGTAAACTTGGTGCAGGGGTTTGGGGTTCAGTTAAAACCATTGGCAGTTTTTGAAAACGGGAAATTAAAGGGGCTTTAAAATTCAAACCCGGATATTAATTTTAAAGGGGGCCCTCATTATGCCCCCAAGAAAAATTTAATTTTAGAGAAATCTTAGAAAGAAAAGTTTTAAATGCATAGAAAATATGTAGTAAAAGGAAGGAAAATGTAAACAAAGTCTTGGTTTTTAAATTTCCATAAAAAAAATTTTAAATTTTAAAATTTTAAATCGTGCTAAACCCCAGATACCATAAAAAAATTTGGGCTTTTCCCCCATGAATTTCCATGGAATTCCATGCTTTTCCATAGTTTTCCAGTGTTTACCAGCCTCTCTTCCAGGCTTACCCTCGAAAATCTTCACCCAGGTATTGCCAAAGAGCAAAAAAAAGTCAAATCTGAGAGCTCATCTGTAGGCCAAAATGTATTTTGGAAACTGTAATAAGAAACCAATAACAAAAAAGATTTGAAAAAATATAAAATGATAGCATTGCATGGGGCTTAATGGGCCTTTAATTAAGCATTTTAAGGCGTAAGTTCTTGAGGAAAATAAAATGGTGATAGGCACCATGTTTCTGTAAATCAATCTGAAAGTAAAACATAATAATGGCCTTGAAGACATGACACGTTACCTTAGTGCAATAAATGGTTATCTCCTATTAAATTGCAAAGGACTTAACCTGTTTCTGCACTCAGTTGACAGACTGTTATAAATATATAGGTTGACAGTTCTTTAATCATTCTATGTAACATATTTTTTTATCAGATGATAAAAATGTCTAGTACCCCTGTGATTTGTATGAACAATTTGAATGTCGTCTTAAACCGAAAGTAAATATTCTGATTTATTAATGGTGTGCAAACGAAAGATTTTTTTGTTATCAGTAATAAATTGCGCTAGCTTTAAGTGTTAACTGGGTTTTGTTTTTTAGATCACATATAGACATGTTGATCACCTATAAGTAATCAAAAACAAATCTATTACATTGCAATTTCAGCTCAACTGTTCATTCAATGGCAGATTTTTTTCTTTTCTTTTCTGGCTGGTTTGGGCTCAAGTCAAGCTAGGGTTTTTAATTTTTAACATGTAGATTTTGTGCAATGGATTTCATCTCCTTTGGATTTGATTATTCAGTTCAATAATACAAAGATTGACTTATCAACAGTATTGAGCCTGTAGAGAGTTGCAAAGAATCTCTGATGAAGGCTTGCCGTGAAATCTTAGAACTGGTGGCTAACTGGCTAATCACTCAGGGTTAATTTATTTGTCACGGTTGAGAACCGTTCATTATTTAAGGGAAAAGATATGTCAGTGGCTGGACAGCTCAGTCAGAAGAGCAGCAAAACTGTATTCCGGGGGTCTCAGGTTCGAGTCTTGGTCACACTGTGACACATTAATGCTTGAGGAAAGTATCAAGCATAAACACTGAAAGCAGATGTGATTTTTTTATTCATAAAAAATAGATGCTGTATGTAGGCCTTTTCCCAGTTTACAATACTCAACAGTTGTAAATTCCAGACTTTATTATGTCAATTCTCAATTATTGTAAAGGTTTTTTCAAACCAAAGCTAATCTACTGGTCCACTATATGTAAATTACTTAAGTGGACGATGCGTTTCCTAATCTTCTATTTTTTAAAAATGAATGTCACTGTCGCGCTAAAAATAGCTCTCAGGACATTGTTTTGAATAAGGTTAACAGTGATATGATGCACTTTTCCATAATAAAATAACTGAAAAACTTAGTTTGAAACATCATAGAATTATTTTTCGAAAAAAAAATTAAAGCTAATTTTAAGCCTCTTACATTGTAAATGAAATTTACATGTAAATGTAAAATCATGTGAATTTGTTAAATTTTCCAAATTTTCATTAAGTTATCAGTCTTAAGTTTTCCACTTGATAATTAGTACAGGATGCTGAGGGAAAGAGAAAGTAGAAATACCATTTTCTGTATTTCCTGGACTAAAGAATTGACTATTGAATTGATTTTATCATTGTGTCTACTTCCTGATAGTGGTAACACTTCTTGGTAACAACAATTATGATTTTCAAGTCAAGTGCTCACTTGTAAAACAGCTCATTCAGACCTAGTTTTTATACAGAAAACAGAGCATTATAGTAATTATTTTAGCTGTAATTGTAGTTACTGACACAGATTTGGAAAATTAAAGTATTTGGTCATGGTGAAGATTTTAAATGCTATACATCGCTAAGTTTGTACGATGGAGTTGCTCTCAAAGCTTAGAATTTGGAACAATTCATTGTTTTTTAAAAGGGTTTTAATATGTAAAAAACTGATTTAAAGTGGCATTATGCTCACTTTTTCATTGTTAAGTTGAATTAACTATGTATTTAAAAAAGATTTGAGTTCTGTAATGTTTTATATACTCTCAGCTACAAGGTCGATATTTTAGCCGAGTGCGCACGTTCGTTAGAATTTAAATGAAATAGTAATCAGGTTATGTTATTTAAAGAACGAAAAGTTTTATAAACATTATTTAACAATATCTAAATGAGTAAAACTAATTATACTGATATAGACCGGTAAATAGTAAATTTGAGTCTTATAATGTTTGATTTTTACAAATTTTTGTCAGTCAAAATGCAGGACATGTACATTTTATGAAAGGGGCGAGTAATTAATTTGAAGGGAAAGTGACCTCTAGAAAAATTCATCGTGGCCTGGGAATATTAGTCACATAAACAGCAGAATGTTAATGGTTACTTCAAAGTTTAATGGATTTGTTTTTGACTGTTTATCAAAATATACATATGAATGCATATTTATACTGAGTGGAGCGGCCATTGACCAAATATGGCTTTCTTTGTCTGGGAAGAAAGAAAATGAAAAAAATAGTCCAACAGTGTTATGAGACTGATAAATCTTGTGTTAATGTTTTCCTTCCATGACAGGAACCAGGCAGGTGACATTGCACTTCTTTGTTGAAATATTTGTTCTGTCTAATCATTATAATCAGCGCACATTTTCTTTCGATAACGTAAAGACAAGCAAAAATGAAAGTTAGTAATCATGCCAAACCTTTTTCTTTTGTTAAAAAACAGTAGATTTGTTTGAATTTCCTAAAGAAAAAAAAATTATTTTGATTACAAGAATGGAAATAATAGATATGGATATGATTTAAGTACAAATGTATGTGATTTAAGTACTTAATAATGTTAATCATGAAAAATTGAGATAGATTATAAACATTTGAGATAAGTCTTGAAAAGCTAAGCTAGTTGTGTCATGTCAATGTTGGTGTACTAGTATGTTTGGAAAGTTTAAGGTTAAGTGCACTAAGTGATAAATTATATGTGGACATGTACATACTTTTTTTTAAATAAACAGATTTTTAGATTAATCATAGAAAAGTCATTGGATATTTATCATGGAAATTAAATTCACAAGTGGCATGGATATTGAAGTGAAATAACAAATATTGAATCTAACTTTAAAGTGGATTTGGAAGATAAATGAAGGAAAAATCAGTGAAATTGAAAAATAAGTGAATTACTAATTGAGTTGAAATAATGGACACTTCAGGGTAGGACATGCAATATAAAATGTAGTTATTTAATTAACCTAATTTGATAATTAATATAACTAGTGAGAGAGATCAGTCTAATATATAAGCTGAAATCAATGTGAGATTCATTTAGAAAAGGAGTGATGATGTCCAGAAGGTATACTTTGTTACGAAGTAAAAACGGGCAACGAAGTTCATCAATGAATGATATATATGGAGGGCTTTATATGGGATATTCAAACAAGTCTTTGTAAGTACAGCATGAAAATTTTGTGTCGTGTTGTGATATATTTTTGTTAACTTTGTTATAATTAAAGCCAGCTGTTACTGAATATTTCAATATTGATATGTCATCAATATTCAACAGTCAATTCAATATTGATTCACAATTTAAAATATTGATATAATTTTAAACCCCATTTCTACCTGTTTTGTGCAAAAAAAATCACTTTATTTTTTGGTCTCATTTGAAGTTTCACTGTTTCTTAACCTTAAACTGATTTTAGTTTTGAGAGGTCAGCGAGACACAATAATAAGAAAACTGTATATATGACTTATGTAAAATAAAGTTGTATTTGTACATGATGACTTAATCATTGTTGTGGGTCTTTCAAACATTTTTTTGTGGCACATTACGTGTCGTAAGCTTAATTAAGCTAGCTCAGGGTATCAAAATGTAGTATTTTGACTGTATAAAAATACTAATGTCTACAGAGCAAAAGAAACAAAATATAGTTCATCTATATGCAAATGAATAGTTTTATGAAACTGAAACAAAGTACCAAAAATAAAAGTTTTTGAGAAATAAAAATGATATCATTTCTGAGCTATAATGGGCCTTTAAAATAGTTATTGCATAAGGTCTTTTAAACAGTTATTGTGACTGGTCTTTAAACAGTTATTGTGGTAGGTCTTTAAAACAGTTATTGTGGCTGGTCTTTAACCAGTTATTGTGGCTGGTCTTTAAACAGTTATTGTGGCTGGTCTTTAACCAGTTATTGTGGCTGGTCTTTAAACAGTTATTGTGGCTGGTCTTTAACCAGTTATTGTGGCTGGTCTTTAAACAGTTATTGTGGCTGGTCTTTAAACAGTTATTGTGGTAGGTCTTTAAAACAGTTATTGTGCCTGGTCTTTAAACAATTATTGTGGTGGGTCTTTTAAACAGTTATTGTGGCTGGGTCTTTAAAACAGTTATTGTGGCTGGTCTTTAAACAGTTATTGTGGCTGGTCTTTAAACAGTTATTGTGGTAGGTCTTTAAAACAGTTATTGTGGCTGGTCTTTAACCAGTTATTGTGGCTGGTCTTTAAACAGTTATTGTGGCTGGTCTTTAACCAGTTATTGTGGCTGGTCTTTAAAACAGTTATTGTGGCTGGTCTTTAAACAGTTATTAGCTCGACTTTTCTATGAAAAGGGGAGCTATCCTACTCGCCCCGGCGTCGGCGTCGGCGTCGGCGTCGGCGTCACACCTTGGTTAAGTTTTTCGTACCACCCCACTTTATTTCAGAAGTATTACAAGTATGGCTTTGAAACTTACCATACTTGTTCACCATCATAACCTCCATCTACAGACAAGAGTACATAACTCTGTCAAGTTTTTGACAGAATTATGGCCCTTTTTTGACTTAGAAAGTGTATTGAGCCTTGGTTAAGTTTTTTTGTACCACCTCACTTTATTTTCAAAACCATTGGAGGTATTGCTTTGAAAACTGACCATACTTGTTTACCATCACGACCTTCATCAACAGACAAGAGGACATAACTCTGTCAAGGTTTTTGACAGAATTATGCCCCTTTTTGACTTAGAAAATACATTGAATATGGGTAAAATCCACTTATTGCCTTAACCCTTTGAGATATTGCTTTGAAACTTTTAATGCTATTTCACATCATTACCCCCATCTGTACGCAAGAGAAGGTAACTCTGTCAAGGATTTGTTTTTAAAAAATTAAGGCCTTTTTATCGACTTAGAATCTTGGTTAAGTTTTTAGTACCAGTCCACTTTTTGACTGAACTGTTTGAGATATTAATTTGAAAGTTGGAATACTTGTTTACAATCATGATTCCCAAACATGTCCAGGAGAAGGTAATTCTGTCAAAGATTTTATTTTGAATTATGGCCCTTAACTGTCAATGTTTTGTATTATGGCAAGCACTAAAAAACTTTAAAAAATCTAAAAAAATTCATTCCTATCCACTTGTTCACTTTACCATAAATTATGTCATATAAACATTGCTGTAATATTCAAGGGTATCAAACAACTAGTTCACTTTAAAAATACAGAGATTCTTGTATTGCCTTTTACTGCAAAAACTTTTTTTATTGGCAAGCAATAAAAAAGTCGAGCGCGCTGTCTTACGGACAGCTCTTGTTGTAGTGGATCTTTTATATATTATTGTGGCAGGTCTTTAAAGCAATTATTGTGACTTGTCTTTAAACAGTTATAGTGGCAGGTCTTTTATATATTATTGTGGCAGGTCTTTAAAGCAATTATTGTGGCTGGTCTTTAAACAGTTATTGTGGCTGGTCTTTAAACAGTTATTGTGGCAGGTCTTTTATATTTTATTGTGGCTGGTCTTTAAACAGTTATTGTGGCAGGTCTTTTATATATTATTGTGGCTGGTCTTTAAACAGTTATTGTGGCAGGTCTTTTATATATTATTGTGGCTGGTCTTAAACAGTTATTGTGGCAGGTCTTTTTATATATTATTGTGGCTGGTCTTTAAACAGTTATTGTGGCTGGTCTTTTAAACCAGTTATTGTGGCCTGTCTTTAAAACAGTTATTATGGTGGATCTTTTGTATATTATTGTGGTGGGTCTTTAAAACAGTTATTGTGGCTGGTCTTTAAAGCAATTATTGTGACTTGTCTTTAAACAGTTATTGTGGCGGGTCTTTTAAGCAGTTATTAGGGTGGGTCTTCAAAACAGTTCATGTTTATTTTGACATTGTTTTTCAGGCATTGGTGGGTCTTTAAACTATATCAATTTTAAAACCATTACATTTTTAGCTCACCTGTCACAAAGTGACAGGGTGAGCTTTTGTGATCGCTTTTCGTCCGGCGTCCGTCCGTCGTCCGTCCGTCCGTCCGTAAACTTTTGCTTTAAATGACATCTCCTCATAAACCACTGAGCCAATTTCATCCAAACTTCACAGGAATGTTCCTTTGGTGGTCACCTTTGAAAAATTGTTCAAAGAATTTAACTCCATGCAGAACTCTGGTTGCCATGGCAACCAAAAGAAAAAACTTTAAATATCTTCTTTTAAAAAAACCATAAGAGCTAGAGCTTAGATATTTGGCAATGAAACATCTTCTAGTGAGTGTCTTACCAAGTTTTTGTTCAAAAATAAAAGCCCTGGGGTCAAAATTGGCCCCGCCCCTGGGGGTCATTGATTTTCCCTATATGCATATTGTAAAAACTTAAAAAAATCTTCTTTTAAAGAACCCAAGAGCTAGAGCTGAGATATTAAGCCTGAAACATCCTTCTAGTGAGTGTCTACCAAGTTTGTTCAAATTAAAGCCCTGGGGTCAAAATTGGCCCCGCCCCGGGGGTCATTGATTTTCCCTATATGCATATAGTAAAAACTTAAAAAAATCTTCTTTTTAAAGAACCATAAGAGCTAGAGCTTTAGATATTTGGCATGAAACATCTTCTAGTGAATGTCTTACAAAGTTTGGTTTCAAATAAAAGCCCTGGGATAAAATTGACCCTGCCCCAGGGGGTCATAGATTTTCCCCTATATGCATATAGTAAAAAAACTTAAAAAAATATACTTTTAAAGAACCCAAAGGAGCTAGAGCTAAGATATTTAGCATGAAACATCTTTTCTAATGAAAGTGGTCTACCAAGTTTGTTCAAATAAAAGCTCCTATTGGGTCAAAAATTGGCCCCCGCCCCAGGGGGTCATTGATTTTCCCTATATGCATATAGTAAAAACTTAAAAAAATCTTCTTTTTTAAAGAACTCAAAGAGCTAGAGCTAAGATATTTAGCATGAAACATGTTTCTAAATGGGTGTCCTACCAAGTATGTTCCAAATAAAAGCCCTGGGGTCAAAACTTGCCCCGCCCGGGGGGAGGGGGGGGAGGGTGGGTCATTGATTTTTTTCCTTATATGTGTATAGCAAAAAACTTTAAAAATCTTCTTTGGAAAAACCCAAATAGCTAGAGTTTAGATATTAAGCATGAAACATCTTTTTAAGTAAAATATCTACAAAGTTTTGTTAGAAAATAAAACGCCCGGGGGTCAAAACTGGCCCTGCCCCAGGGGTGAATTGTGTTTTTAACTATATGTGTATAGTAAAAACTTTAAAAATCTTCTTTTAAAAATGCCAATGAGCTAGAACTTAGATGTTTAGCATGAAACATCTTCTTATGGGTGTCTACCAAGTCTGTTCAAATAAACAAATAAAAGCCCTTAGGTAAAAATTGGCCCGGGGGTGGGGGGCCTATATACAGGTGAGCGACCTCAGGGCCATCATGGCCCTCTTGTTTCAAGATATATGAGATCATGATTTGTCATGTGAATATTACTGTTTCAAGATGCCTTAATGTCCTGTTGATCAAACACTCTCTGCCACAAACATTTTCCTGCATACTGGTAATTATTCAATAATAATTAATGCACACCCTCGAAGATAATTTTATATGATCTTAACCAGACTTCAGACTTTCTTTTGCAAGTACTTAAGTTGCCTTCACTTTTGCAAGGAACTGATCACTTCTGTTTAAAGACCCACCACAATAATGGTTTAAAGACCCACCACAATAATGGTTTAAAAGACCTGCAACAATAATTTATTTTAAAGACCAGACCCAATGCATAATTTTCTTAAAAGCCCTTAGCTTGCTGACAGCAACTAATTCTTTTTATGTCACTTGTGCAAAAGATCACCTGTCTTAAAGGGATATTCAGGCAAAATAATGACAAAAATATTAAAATGATCTTATATACTCAAATCACGCTAAAATGACTTTTCTTTGAAAAAAGTTTTCAGCATGAAATTTTTGTTTAAATTCTATATATTTTGGGTTTGAAAAGCGTAAATATATATATATAATTTTGAAACAAAATTTTAGACGCCAATAGAATCACCAATAGTTTTTAAAACAAGTCAGGTGACTTTGAACAGAACCCTTTGAAGTTACAATAACAGATATTGTGGATATTGTATGGATTGAAACAAGCCTAAGTCATTCATTTGACATTTTCTTTAACGTTTTCCAGAGTTCCACTTTGACAACTAATTGT